CCCTATAACACTGTTGATTATTCCGTTTTATATGAATTCCATGTTGTATGAGTCACTTAGATTTTACAAATGCGTGTGCCGGGCTGTGAACGGCTCACCTATTTGTAAAATCTAAGTGACTTTAAACACAATAAAAACAGCACTATGTAGTTGGATACGACAGACATTACATTTTCTAATTGCATAGCTTTTGCATATAGATTTTCTTGATGGATGACGCGAAGAGATATAAATAATTTAGAAAAATTCTGTTCTCCCATTTTTTGTTTGAATAAGAAAATGACTCCCTTATTTTTTCCTGTCATTGCTGCCACAACACTTCAGAAAATAATATTCAATTTAAACTAGACGAATTACATCGAAAAATATTTATTTATAATTTCTTCTAAACATCTCACGGGCCGGATAGAAACTTTTCGCAGGCTGTAGCTGGCCCGCAGGCCGGGGGTTGCCCACCGTTGTTATATAGTATTTTATATTCTGTAATCAATATATTTCTTCTTCTAACCCCTGGTAATGCCAAAAGCGGTACCAGGGTATGTACTTATAAAAATTTTAGTACCAATAAAAATATATGAATGAAAGTGACTCTGGCAGTAACTACTGCTCAGATCTGTGCTGCCGTTGCACATCTGTCAGCAACTGCTATCTGCGCAATATGGCAGTCTTCACGTGGTGTCGTCCTTCTGTGTGGAACTGTGCCAGGTCTGTGAGTGCTGGATCCTTCCTGCATCCACCGTATGACCACTCTTTGCACTGACATTGCACCATGGCCAGTCCTTTGGGCAATTTCACAATATGATGCTCCCATTTCTGACATGCCAATTATCAGACCTCTTTCAAAGTCAGACATTTGGGTGTACAGAGTTCTCACTTGTTGATATGGCATACCAACAACATGTGGACCAAAAAAAGTCATGTTCCATAACACAGTTCACAACTTATAAATTAAACACTATAGCAATTTTGCATAATAAATGTCTCCATAATTTCCATACCACTGTATGTACTTCATTTAATTTTTGATCATTCAATACCCTTCAAAAATAAATTCCTTTGTCCCAATTTCATATGTCTTCGACAACATTGGATGGGTGTAACACTTTCAATTTCCGCCAGTGTANGGTGTGGTGTGTTTTAGCCGGCAGCACTGGCACTTTTGTGTAGTGTTTTTCTGAGTACTGTGTATTGTGCTGAATTGGACATTTTTGATACTAGATTAACTTCTAAAGTATAATTTTTTTGTTTTTATATCTTTCAACGTATTTATTTTGTTTGTATAAAATAAAGAAATAATTTTTAGCGATACAATAGCCACAATTATTATTATAAAAATTTTCGTTAGGCTTAACACTGACAAAAATTCAATGCAAAGCGACATGCAACAGAGAAAAATTTCAACATGGGATAGGTTAATATATTTTTTCATATGTAATCAGTTATCTGAACAACCACAGTCCCCAATTGATTCGGATAAACGGCACTCTACTGTATTTGCACAGATACACCTAATAATAATAAATACTAAAATAATCTCAAAAAATTAGATAAAAAATATTTTAGTGTTAATAATATCCAACCACTTGAGTTCAAGTGTTGATCAGTCAGCTTCTATTTGCTGTAATAATTAAAACAGAAAAAAATCAACTGTTTGGTTCTAAACAAAACCTTCTAAATAGTTCCATGAGATGATAATATTACATATAAAAAAAATGTGTATACATTTACTCACTGATTCAATTCTTCCTCTGTTGATATCTTCAGGTAGGAATTTTGCACCAATTTCTCGTAAATCACTCTAAAAAGTAATAATTTAATGTATTTAATAATTTATTGTAATAAATTCATTACAGTTTTAATTTTTTTACAAACAAGTTTAAACAATTATTAAAATTGAATAAAAAGTTAAATTTGAAAATAATTTTTTGGTCTTATAAAACAAGAACTTACAAATTTCAAAAATTAGAACAAATTTTCCAAGGTTATTACATTATTATTTGCATTTTTAGTATATAATTCTTTTTAATTATTTATTTAACCCTATATATAAATATTTAAAAATAAACTTCGCACAGTTTTTTAATAAAAATAACAAAATTTCAATTATTGCAATAGTTTTCCTTTATATAACAACAGCCTCAAATGTTTCTCCTATATGTATACCTTTATAATCAGCAATAACTACAAGTTATATTATCAGTCATTATTGATATAACTAAAAGAATATTTATTAATAGTTTCTATATTAAATGTTATTTAATTCATAAAGTTGCGTGTAAAAAATTCATAGAATTTCCTATAACAAGAATGGAGCCAATGTGTTAGATCAGTGATCACCAAACTACAGTCTGCAGGCCAGATCCGGCCCTTGAGGTCAGTTCATCCAGCCTGTGCACCGCAACTGTGCCACAAATGAGCTAAAATGTAATTACAGGTAGCCCTCGATTTACGCTGGCTCAATTTACACTGATTCACAATAATGCCACTGCACAATTCGCCATTTTGCGGTGTAATTCTTCGATTTTTCTTATGCTAGAGTGATATTCATTTCAGTGTTGACGTATTTACCGAGCTGCGACATTGTACATTCGTTAAAACAAAGATTTTTATTGAATATATTTATTTTTTCTGTTTATTATTATTGGGTATGTATACATTTGCATTAAACTAATATTAAAATACTAAACGTTTAGGTATCCACGAGTCAAGTTATTAAAGTTAATAGTCCAATAAATGGCATCCGAATCCATAGCGCCAATGAATGTATCCCGTATCAGTTCATTCAGGAAAACACCTTATGACGCAGTAACACTTCCGGCGATCACAAACTATCATTAGTAAAACAAATCTACTTCTCGTTGGCCAGACAATACTTTTTATTAGCCAGACAATATCTACTTCTTGTCAGTCAGACAATATCACTCCTTAGCCACCTTCAATTTTCCTGCTCAAACTGACCTTATATATGCACTAAGGCGACTGGTGGTCTATTAATCAGTGTCTCTGCTCGTCTGTAGCTCTACATCGGGTTAACATATCCTTTCAACTATGGAAAGTTTGACGGATAAACTTTGTGAGTTAGACAATGATTGGGAGTGAAGTGCAAATGTAAAAGGGAGCATCATCGCATCCATTCAACCATATTCTGAAATTCTTAATGAAAGAAAACAAAAATGTAAACAATTAAAAATGGATACTTTTTTCCGAAAATGTAAGAGATCAGAAACTAAAATTTTTTAATAAAAACAGTTCACTTTATTTTATGATAAAATATATTTTAAAACTTAAATTTATATGTATTTTGTATTATATTGTATTAATAAACAAAATTATTTGCTTATTTTTCACTTATGTAGAACCTAACCCTATACCTCACTGTAAATATGGATTCATTTTACGCCAATTCGATTTCCGCCCGCTTTTGTAGGAATGGAACTGCGGAGTAAATCGACAGCTACCTGTATTTATATAAAATAAAAATATCATAGATTGTAGATGAACTTACTATGTATAAAAAATTAAAATAAGTGTAAATAAAAATGCCAAAATTGGTCCAATCTGATTTTTGTATTTGACAGTAATAAAACTTTTAGGAAATCAGTGAAATAAAAAATTCAACAACATTTTGCAACTTTGGATATTGGAGCACTTTTTGTGTAAGTACCTGCAATGACGTTTCTAAGAAAAGCAATTACGAGCTTGCTGCAGCAATCATGTTTGTGTATTGGTAAATAAATATGTTGGTTTTCTTTATATTTTGTGTATTCAGTATACTATATTGAACAAAATGGTTATACGGTCCATGCTTGTTATTCTCTCAGTTATCTGGCTCTGCCACCATAGCTAAGCAGTGAATGTATGACAGCAGTAAGCAATAAAATATAACAGAATAAAAACTTCAAAAATTCAATTATATCATATAATGAATGCTGTGTGCTTTTTTTTTATAATCTCTCATTTCTTGCAAAAATATTGGAAATTTCAAACAGATTAAACAATATAAATATTAACATATATTTTTCTAATATAGGTTCTATGTATATTACATTCTACTTTGTAATGAACATGAAACTAGTTGCCTTCACACATGTAGATTAATATCAGCTATATTGTTAATCTGGGAAACATATATAAATTTATTAAATTACAGTATAAAATAAATTTTAATAAAACTAAACATAAACAAAGCTGTAATAAATTAAATAATAAAAAATATACTTTTTGCATACTTACATCTAAAGCTTTCTGAATAATTGCATTGACAGTAATATTTTCTAAACCTTCACTACATTCATCAATTCCTTCCGATGTTAAATTCCTATTTTAAAAAATCAATTTATTTAGTTCTTTGTAAAATTAAGTTATATAAATATTTAAAATAATTATTTTAAATTAATAGAGAAAGAATAATGTTATATACAACCCAAATAATATAAAATATTTCTAAATATTATAGTGTATTCATGTCTTGTCTTCCAGTTTTGTTACTTGAATAAAAACAACTCATTAAGTCCTTTGTCAAATAAAATAACAGATTGTTAAATATAATATCAGTTAACAGATAAACAAAATTGTTGTTCTTGAAATACTTTCAAAACCAGAAATAACATAATTAACCAAATAATCAGTATTTGGTTAATTATGTGAAGCCACATGTTATACTTTCTATCCCAGACATATTATACATGAGTGTCTGAACAAAATCTAATTTAAAGTCTGCATAAAATATTCACAGTAAAATTGGATCAATTTAACATACAAGGTAGGTATTTAATGTTGCTGACATTGAATATACTATGCAAATACTATCATTTTGAGATTGGGATGGAGGGTGGTCATACCCCCACCATATACAACACTACAATACATTTACTCACACAACCAAATGTACAATTTAATCAAGTGTGTTTATTGGGTTTCAGAATGGGGAAAGATACCCTGAAACATTATTAAAATACATTGTCATCAAACTTAGAAATGACTTTAAAGTTTCAGTCTTCTATCTTAATTAGAAGTGGATGAAATTTGAGTTGCAAGACTTGAGGGCATGACACAAAGCAAGGTAACTCNTTTTTTTTTTTTTTTTTTTTTTTTTTTTTTTTTTTTTTTTTTTTTTTTTTTTTTTTTTTTTTTTTTTTTTTTTTTTTTTTTTTTTTTTTTTTTTTTTTTTTTTTTTTTTTTTTTTTTTTTTTTTTTTTTTTTTTTTTTTTTTTTTTTTTTTTTTTTTTTTTTTTTTTTTTTTTTTTTTTTTTTTTTTTTTTTTTTTTTTTTTTTTTTTTTTTTTTTTTTTTTTTTTTTTTTTTTTTTTTTTTTTTTTTTTTTTTTTTTTTTTTTTTTTTTTTTTTTTTTTTTTTTTTTTTTTTTTTTTTTTTTTTTTTTTTTTTTTTTTTTTTTTTTTTTTTTTTTTTTTTTTTTTTTTTTTTTTTTTTTTTTTTTTTTTTTTTTTTTTTTTTTTTTTTTTTTTTTTTTTTTTTTTTTTTTTTTTTTTTTTTTTTTTTTTTTTTTTTTTTTTTTTTTTTTTTTTTTTTTTTTTTTTTTTTTTTTTTTTTTTTTTTTTTTTTTTTTTTTTTTTTTTTTTTTTTTTTTTTTTTTTTTTTTTTTTTTTTTTTTTTTTTTTTTTTTTTTTTTTTTTTTTTTTTTTTTTTTTTTTTTTTTTTTTTTTTTTTTTTTTTTTTTTTTTTTTTTTTTTTTTTTTTTTTTTTTTTTTTTTTTTTTTTTTTTTTTTTTTTTTTTTTTTTTTTTTTTTTTTTTTTTTTTTTTTTTTTTTTTTTTTTTTTTTTTTTTTTTTTTTTTTTTTTTTTTTTTTTTTTTTTTTTTTTTTTTTTTTTTTTTTTTTTTTTTTTTTTTTTTTTTTTTTTTTTTTTTTTTTTTTTTTTTTTTTTTTTTTTTTTTTTTTTTTTTTTTTTTTTTTTTTTTTTTTTTTTTTTTTTTTTTTTTTTTTTTTTTTTTTTTTTTTTTTTTTTTTTTTTTTTTTTTTTTTTTTTTTTTTTTTTTTTTTTTTTTTTTTTTTTTTTTTTTTTTTTTTTTTTTTTTTTTTTTTTTTTTTTTTTTTTTTTTTTTTTTTTTTTTTTTTTTTTTTTTTTTTTTTTTTTTTTTTTTTTTTTTTTTTTTTTTTTTTTTTTTTTTTTTTTTTTTTTTTTTTTTTTTTTTTTTTTTTTTTTTTTTTTTTTTTTTTTTTTTTTTTTTTTTTTTTTTTTTTTTTTTTTTTTTTTTTTTTTTTTTTTTTTTTTTTTTTTTTTTTTTTTTTTTTTTTTTTTTTTTTTTTTTTTTTTTTTTTTTTTTTTTTTTTTTTTTTTTTTTTTTTTTTTTTTTTTTTTTTTTTTTTTTTTTTTTTTTTTTTTTTTTTTTTTTTTTTTTTTTTTTTTTTTTTTTTTTTTTTTTTTTTTTTTTTTTTTTTTTTTTTTTTTTTTTTTTTTTTTTTTTTTTTTTTTTTTTTTTTTTTTTTTTTTTTTTTTTTTTTTTTTTTTTTTTTTTTTTTTTTTTTTTTTTTTTTTTTTTTTTTTTTTTTTTTTTTTTTTTTTTTTTTTTTTTTTTTTTTTTTTTTTTTTTTTTTTTTTTTTTTTTTTTTTTTTTTTTTTTTTTTTTTTTTTTTTTTTTTTTTTTTTTTTTTTTTTTTTTTTTTTTTTTTTTTTTTTTTTTTTTTTTTTTTTTTTTTTTTTTTTTTTTTTTTTTTTTTTTTTTTTTTTTTTTTTTTTTTTTTTTTTTTTTTTTTTTTTTTTTTTTTTTTTTTTTTTTTTTTTTTTTTTTTTTTTTTTTTTTTTTTTTTTTTTTTTTTTTTTTTTTTTTTTTTTTTTTTTTTTTTTTTTTTTTTTTTTTTTTTTTTTTTTTTTTTTTTTTTTTTTTTTTTTTTTTTTTTTTTTTTTTTTTTTTTTTTTTTTTTTTTTTTTTTTTTTTTTTTTTTTTTTTTTTTTTTTTTTTTTTTTTTTTTTTTTTTTTTTTTTTTTTTTTTTTTTTTTTTTTTTTTTTTTTTTTTTTTTTTTTTTTTTTTTTTTTTTTTTTTTTTTTTTTTTTTTTTTTTTTTTTTTTTTTTTTTTTTTTTTTTTTTTTTTTTTTTTTTTTTTTTTTTTTTTTTTTTTTTTTTTTTTTTTTTTTTTTTTTTTTTTTTTTTTTTTTTTTTTTTTTTTTTTTTTTTTTTTTTTTTTTTTTTTTTTTTTTTTTTTTTTTTTTTTTTTTTTTTTTTTTTTTTTTTTTTTTTTTTTTTTTTTTTTTTTTTTTTTTTTTTTTTTTTTTTTTTTTTTTTTTTTTTTTTTTTTTTTTTTTTTTTTTTTTTTTTTTTTTTTTTTTTTTTTTTTTTTTTTTTTTTTTTTTTTTTTTTTTTTTTTTTTTTTTTTTTTTTTTTTTTTTTTTTTTTTTTTTTTTTTTTTTTTTTTTTTTTTTTTTTTTTTTTTTTTTTTTTTTTTTTTTTTTTTTTTTTTTTTTTTTTTTTTTTTTTTTTTTTTTTTTTTTTTTTTTTTTTTTTTTTTTTTTTTTTTTTTTTTTTTTTTTTTTTTTTTTTTTTTTTTTTTTTTTTTTTTTTTTTTTTTTTTTTTTTTTTTTTTTTTTTTTTTTTTTTTTTTTTTTTTTTTTTTTTTTTTTTTTTTTTTTTTTTTTTTTTTTTTTTTTTTTTTTTTTTTTTTTTTTTTTTTTTTTTTTTTTTTTTTTTTTTTTTTTTTTTTTTTTTTTTTTTTTTTTTTTTTTTTTTTTTTTTTTTTTTTTTTTTTTTTTTTTTTTTTTTTTTTTTTTTTTTTTTTTTTTTTTTTTTTTTTTTTTTTTTTTTTTTTTTTTTTTTTTTTTTTTTTTTTTTTTTTTTTTTTTTTTTTTTTTTTTTTTTTTTTTTTTTTTTTTTTTTTTTTTTTTTTTTTTTTTTTTTTTTTTTTTTTTTTTTTTTTTTTTTTTTTTTTTTTTTTTTTTTTTTTTTTTTTTTTTTTTTTTTTTTTTTTTTTTTTTTTTTTTTTTTTTTTTTTTTTTTTTTTTTTTTTTTTTTTTTTTTTTTTTTTTTTTTTTTTTTTTTTTTTTTTTTTTTTTTTTTTTTTTTTTTTTTTTTTTTTTTTTTTTTTTTTTTTTTTTTTTTTTTTTTTTTTTTTTTTTTTTTTTTTTTTTTTTTTTTTTTTTTTTTTTTTTTTTTTTTTTTTTTTTTTTTTTTTTTTTTTTTTTTTTTTTTTTTTTTTTTTTTTTTTTTTTTTTTTTTTTTTTTTTTTTTTTTTTTTTTTTTTTTTTTTTTTTTTTTTTTTTTTTTTTTTTTTTTTTTTTTTTTTTTTTTTTTTTTTTTTTTTTTTTTTTTTTTTTTTTTTTTTTTTTTTTTTTTTTTTTTTTTTTTTTTTTTTTTTTTTTTTTTTTTTTTTTTTTTTTTTTTTTTTTTTTTTTTTTTTTTTTTTTTTTTTTTTTTTTTTTTTTTTTTTTTTTTTTTTTTTTTTTTTTTTTTTTTTTTTTTTTTTTTTTTTTTTTTTTTTTTTTTTTTTTTTTTTTTTTTTTTTTTTTTTTTTTTTTTTTTTTTTTTTTTTTTTTTTTTTTTTTTTTTTTTTTTTTTTTTTTTTTTTTTTTTTTTTTTTTTTTTTTTTTTTTTTTTTTTTTTTTTTTTTTTTTTTTTTTTTTTTTTTTTTTTTTTTTTTTTTTTTTTTTTTTTTTTTTTTTTTTTTTTTTTTTTTTTTTTTTTTTTTTTTTTTTTTTTTTTTTTTTTTTTTTTTTTTTTTTTTTTTTTTTTTTTTTTTTTTTTTTTTTTTTTTTTTTTTTTTTTTTTTTTTTTTTTTTTTTTTTTTTTTTTTTTTTTTTTTTTTTTTTTTTTTTTTTTTTTTTTTTTTTTTTTTTTTTTTTTTTTTTTTTTTTTTTTTTTTTTTTTTTTTTTTTTTTTTTTTTTTTTTTTTTTTTTTTTTTTTTTTTTTTTTTTTTTTTTTTTTTTTTTTTTTTTTTTTTTTTTTTTTTTTTTTTTTTTTTTTTTTTTTTTTTTTTTTTTTTTTTTTTTTTTTTTTTTTTTTTTTTTTTTTTTTTTTTTTTTTTTTTTTTTTTTTTTTTTTTTTTTTTTTTTTTTTTTTTTTTTTTTTTTTTTTTTTTTTTTTTTTTTTTTTTTTTTTTTTTTTTTTTTTTTTTTTTTTTTTTTTTTTTTTTTTTTTTTTTTTTTTTTTTTTTTTTTTTTTTTTTTTTTTTTTTTTTTTTTTTTTTTTTTTTTTTTTTTTTTTTTTTTTTTTTTTTTTTTTTTTTTTTTTTTTTTTTTTTTTTTTTTTTTTTTTTTTTTTTTTTTTTTTTTTTTTTTTTTTTTTTTTTTTTTTTTTTTTTTTTTTTTTTTTTTTTTTTTTTTTTTTTTTTTTTTTTTTTTTTTTTTTTTTTTTTTTTTTTTTTTTTTTT